AGGCGCCGAGCCAGGAGTTTTAAGTTTTAAAGGGCTTAAAAAGATAATGGTTTGTTAGAGACTAAATCCTTTAAGAATGGGGTAAAAGGTATAGCAAATTAAGGAGAGCAGTTTTTTAAAAATAGCAAAACGTGCAATTTGATGTTTTTTACTCCTGATAGTAGATATTTTGCGGCTTTTCAAATATCATTTAGCTTGGCTTTCTTGGTCATATGTTTGAGACAGGGTCTTGCTCTATTGCTTGAGTTACAATGCAGTGCTGCAGCCTCAAGCTCTGGGGCTCAAGCAGTTCTCCCACTTCAACTTTCTAAGTAGCTGGGACTGTAGGCCTGCCTTGCCTACCTAATATTCAATTTTTTATTTTGAGACAGAGTCTCACTTTGTTGCCCCAAGCTAGGGTGCCGTGGAGTCATAGCTCACAGCAACCTCAAATTCCTGGATTCAGGTGATTGTCCTGCTTCAGCCTCCCAAGTAACTAGGATTACAGATCTGGGCCGAGATGCCCAGATAATTTGTCTCTTTTCTCTTAACAGAGTCTTGCTCTTACTCAGGCTGGTCTCAAACTCCTGAACTCAGGCAGTCTACTTGCCTCAGCCTCCCAGAGTGCTGGGATTACAGGCATGCACCTGGCCCTAATTTCCAAATTTTTTGTAGAGATGATGTCTCTGTTGCTCAGGCTGTTCTCCTGTCTCCTGGGCTCAGGTGATTCTCCTGTCTCAACTTCCCCAAAGTGCTAGGATTACTGCTGTGAACCACTGTCACCGGCTGAACTTTAGTATATTTGAAAGTATGTGATGCTTTATTTTCAAAATTTGCTGATAATATTTAATCAAAACCTAGAGAATTAAAATAGACTTTTATCCGAAGAAAGTGGTTTTGAATAATAAAGGAGGGAATTACCGGCCGGTTAACAAGTGTCCTTTGTTTTATACGCATGTCATAACATTTCCTAAACTCTGCATTGCAATGTTCAGTTAAAAGAATTGGCAGTTTTGGCAGTTAAATTTTAGAAACTTCTACATTTTGGGTCTGTGCTTTTGAAAATCCAGAATGTACATGGATGCAGGAGTCCTGAGGGTCTTTAATATACTAAACTTTGTTTAGCTCTGCTTTTTCTAAACTTAGATGCTTAGTGATCATTCTTTGCAGGGCGTGCACTGAGAAACTTAGTAGGTAGCTCGGTTTCTGTGTACCCGATGCTTATTGAGTAAGTAGTAATAGGGGAAGAACCCACAGTTTAAGCTTTGGAAAACCTGAGTTTGTGGTTTCGATGTTTTTAATGAATCACTATTTTGGAAAAGTTAATTTAAGTATCTCATGATTCAGTGTTTCCTTTTGTGAAATAGGATAACATTTCTCCTTTTCTGATTCACAGTGATATTGATGTTTATAATTATTACAAAGGCTATAATAAAGTACATATAAAGTTTGTATGTGTTTTTTCTTTATTGCTTATATATAAGGTATACAACTCAGTGTTTTTATGTACACTAAGTGAAGTATACTACAGTCAAGCAAGTGAACATATTTGTCTTCTCACAGAGCTAACCATTTTGTATGTTTGTGTGATTAGAGTGCCTAAGAGAATATGGAATGCTTCAAACTTGCATGTCATCTTTGGGCAGGGGTCATGTTAATTTTCTCTATATCATCCCAATTTTTAGTGTATGTGCTGCCAAAGTGAGCCCTATATTTGTTTCCTACAGAAGAAGGGGAACATTTGATACTTACCTTCTGGTGGTAGGTGATATTGATGTGAATTGTCACAGGAATCAGAAACCTATATACATGTTGAAAGAGTACCTCATAAGTCAAGATGTAGTGGCATGTTAACATTACATAGAGGCTTAGAAATTATGCTATTTTCTTGTAATTTTTTTCTTTGGACACATCATAATATGTGGCCAAGAAGAGATGACAGTAATGCAAGCATTAGGTATTTATTGTTGCTCATTAAGTGTTAGAGATATTAAGAAGAAGCTTCTCTAGCTGGGAAGTGTATTGTACTTTTTAATGACATGGCATTAAATATGAGAAACATGGTAGAAAATTTTTTGATAAAATCATAATGCAGTTGATTCAAGTTTGCATGTTAGTTAATGAACAGAGAAAGTTAAAAAAGATGACAAAATCCAGAGAGGTATAAAAAACACATAAGCCAGACAGGCTGAAGCATGGATTCTAGTCCTGTAGTTGACCGCAGTGAGCATGAGGTGATAGTCATAGAAAGCTAACACCAGAGAGACAGCATTAGGACCTCGTTCTGTGGCACTCATTGATTTAGCTCTTGGTAATGACCACCAGCTCTTAGGCCGCTAAGCAGAAGATACGTGAATTTACAGAAGTGACCACAGTCTTGGCTTCTGCAGATATTTAGCGTTATTGGGCACTGAGGGAGATTGAGTCCAAGGTGTGGTGTAAGAGGTGAGGGAGAGGGTAACTGTTGTGAAGTGTTTGTCATGGACATAATTTTGACTGCCTAATTTTGTTTTATGTGTATGTATGCACACATACACAATGCCATAATATAGCATATATACACATTTTAAGAAAGGAAAAAAACTATTAAAATCTGGAATCTAAAATGCTCCAGTAAGCATTTTAATGAGTATTTCCTCTGACCCTCATCTTGGGGATCGAAAGTTTTAGGCTTTGGATTGTTTTGGATTTTGGATTTGGGGATTAAAAATACTTAATGACACATATTTGTGTGTGTGTTGCTTTGTTAACTTTGTTTATGTGATTTATCCATGGTATGTAGCACTGTTTCACCCACTGTGATTATACCATGCTGCATTATCTTTTTTAATTAGTGATGGGCATGACATTTAGGTTATGTCTAGTTTTGGCTACTAAAAAGATCATTGCTATGAAATTCTTTGTAAGGACTGGATGAATATATGCATACATTTATTTAATATACCTAGGATTAGAATTGTTGGGTCAAAGGATATTGATAGGATGAGCTTGGTGAATATTTCTGAGTAGTTTTGCAAAATGTTTGTACCAGTTAACATTTTGAACAGCAATGTGTGAGAATTCCATTTGCTCCATATTCTTGGCAACACTTGATAGTATTTATTCTTTTCATTTAGCGATTTAGGTGGGTGGGTGGTGAAAATAGCCCTTGGGGTTTTAGTTTGCATTTTCCTCATGTGATGCCTAATGAAGGTATCTTTTTTTTGAAATTCCAGAATGTTATGAGGGTATACATGTTTTATTTACAAAATTCTTTTTTGTATATTTTAAATCAGGGTTATAGATGTGCCGTTCACCCAGAAAGTGCATGCGATGTATGTGTTGGGTAGGAATTTACCCACCCCCTTGACCTCCTCTCACCTGCTTGAATTTTGTTGAGTTTTGCTTTCATATGAACACATGCATGTTGAGCAGCTAGTGCCAGTTCTGTATTGAGTACATGTGGTACTTGTTTTTCCATTCTTGTAGTACTTCCCTTAGGAAAATGGACTCTAATTCCATCTAGGTTGTTGAGAAAGATACTATATCATCATTCTTTTAATGGCTGTAATATGTATATGCCACATGTCATTATTCCATTCATGTGCTGGTGGACATGTGGGTTGTTTCTGTGTCTTTGCACATGTGAATTATGGTGCTGTACACATTCGAGTGCATCATAGCTCTTTGCTGCCTTGATTGTCTGGGCTCAGGTGATCTTCCTGCCTCAGCCTCCCCAAACTACAGTCACGAATCACCATGCCCAGCTAACTTTTTCTTCTTCCTCTTCTTTTTCTTCTTCTTCTTCTTCTTCTTCTTTTTTTTTTTTTTTTTTTTTTGATATTTTGAGATGTTGCCCAGGCTGGTCATGATCTTCTGTCTTCAGGGATTCTCCTGCCTCATCCTCCTGAATTGCTAGGATTACCAGCATGAGCCACTGTACCCAGCCATATTCACTTTTTGTACTGTTAAATCTCAATCTTCTTTGTGTGTATATTTCTTTTTTTGTTTGTTTTTCTTTTGGCTTTTAAGCAAAGATTATCATATATATCATATTATCAAGATTTTGTATATAAACCTATAGTTTGATTAAAGAATACCTTAATTTGACATTTATTTTGGTATGGTTTGAAACTCTTAAGTTGGTTACTTTCTAAACATCTGATTTTTCCATCAATATTTATTAAATACTCTTTGTGATATGCCGCCCATTTTACATTAAATTTCTATGTGTAATAGTATCCTTTTCTAGGGTTGATTCATATTTGCTAGTTGGAAGATCTGCCACTCATCGGGTGACCTGGAGGTAGAACTTTCAGAGGAACAAGCAGAAGTGAGCTGTATGTTAATGATTTGACTACAGGGAACTCTTAGGTTGTCCGGTGTGGCAAATAGTGGAGCTCCTTAATTTTGAAGATCAGTTAGGTGTTAATTGTCTGGATTGAGGTTTATTTCTTTGTAAATTAAAGATATTTGAAAGTAGGACATTCCTAAATAATTTCTGAAAATTTGTTAAAGGTAAGGAAAATAGCAATCCATCACGTAGAAAGTAAGGAATGTTAAAGAATTTTGTTAAGTGTATGATCCAGCCAAAAAACAGTTATCTAAAGAGACTAGAATTTATGATCAAAATGTTTGTAAGTAAAAGATGTTAAAGTTAGGGGATAAAATTTAAAACCTCTTCGTAGAATATAATGATGGTCGAATTCATAAGTTATTTGGAAATCCAAGTTATTTCTTATAACAGTTGATTTTTATTTTTAATTTTTAAAAGTTTATTTTATTTTTATTTTTTATTTTTATTTTTTTAGTTTTTAAGGCAGAGTCTCACTTTGTTGTCCTTGGTAGAGAGTGCCATGGTGTCACAGCTTACAGCAACCTCAAACTCTTGGGCTCAAGCAATTCTCTTGTCTCTAGACTCCCAAGTAGCTGGGAATACAAGGCGGTACCTGCCACAATGCCAGCTCTTTTTTCTTTTTTTGTTTGTTTAGCAGGCCTGAGCCAGGCTTGAACCCACCAGGTTCGGAGCATGTGGCTGGCACCCTCATCACTGAGCTATGGGCACCCCCCAGAGTTGATTTTATATGAAACCACTGGTAACCAAAAATTTATAACTAATGGAGACCAGCAGGTTTGTCGTGAAGAAATAGGATGGAATTAAAATTTTGGTTACAATATTGGTGATGGTTTTTGTCTTTCATGTAGGAAGCCATTTGTAATGGCTCCCCCACCTCCCACCGGATTGATAGTCTCTTTTAGTCTGTTTTTATGGCGATTGGTTCTGAAACCACTGGGCTTTCCTGGGAACCCTTCCCAGAGGTCTGTAAAGTGAAATGATTTTCATAATACCAAGGCATTGTTTGCCATTTTCAGTTACATTGATGGTATAAAGCGCTGGCAGGTAATCGCATTAAAGTACCAAATAATTGATAACCAAGTATTAATGCACCAACTATACCAGTAGTCATTGTATTCTCTGCTGCCACATACTTGCAAAGAAAAAGAAAGCCAGTTTTCAATTAAGAATATTTTTTATGGAATAATAAACATTGTTAATTTTATTAAGTCACAGTCCTTGAGTATATGTCTTTTTAATATTTTGTGTGTTAAAATGGAGATTACATACAATATTACACCTCAAGAAGGGTAATGTCTTGAGAAAAAGCAGTTAAGTCCTTATTTGAATTCAAAGCCCAACTAGCCACTTCTCTTGTGGCCTGCTGGTTTTACTGTGAAGAATGACTGGCAGACAAACTGTAGTTATTCTCACTTGAGTATTTGGCAGACGTTTTCTTGAGAATGAACTAGGTGACTGTCACTTTAAGGAAAATAAATGGCAGTATTTGGTGCTTTCAGGAAAAATTTGAGCTTTCAAGCAAAAGCTAGAATTTTAGAGCCCGTCCATCTGCAACTTTGAGTTTGAGAGCTCCTGAATGCTTAATAACTTTTCTGATGATTGGTGGTAGTTATCAGAAGTTCCTCAGACCACCCTCAGATGCAGTGATTTACTAGAAGGAATAACAAAACACAACACAGCACAGCTGTCATACTAAATAGTAATAGTTTACTGTAGCCAAAGGATACAAATTAAAGTTGGCAACAGAAAAGGTGCATAAGGAAAGCAAAGTTGAAACTAGATGCGGAGTCGTCATTCATTTGGATGGTCCTTAAATCTCCCAACAGCAATGTGTGAGACAAACACATAAAGTATTGCCAACTAGGAAAACTCAGGTGAACCTTCGTTGTCCAGGGTTCTTATTAGGGATGATTGTGTAGACTTGAAGTACCCACGTGGCCAACCTTAGTAACTCTTTGTCAGTTTGACCTCTGTGAAGTTGTATGGACCAACATTGTTTGCATAAATTGTCTGTTGTGGCCTGAGGCTTCTGGTAAACAAAGACGCTGTTTTTTTTGTTTGTTTGTTTGTTTGTTTGTTTTTTGAGATGGAGCCTCAAGCTATCCCCCTGGGTAGAGTGCCATGGCATCACACTCACAGCAACCTCCAACTCCTGAGCTCAAGCGAGTCTCCTGCCTCAGCCTCCCAAGTAGCTGGGACTACAGGCGCCCGCCACAACGCCCGGCCATTTTTTGGTTGCAGCCGTCATTGTTGTTTGGCGGCCCCGGGCTGGGGATTTGAACCTACCACCTTAGGTGTATGTGGCTGGCGCCAAGCTGACACTGTTATTAAATAGGATATTTTCAAGGGTTTAGAGATTAAGTTCCAGGTGCT